GAGAGAGACACAGCGAGAGAGGGAACACAAGCAGGGGGAGTGGGAGAGGGAGAAGCAGGCTTCCCGCGGAGCAGGGAGCCCGATGCAGGGCTAGATCCCAGGACCCTGGGATCATGACCTGAGCCGAAGGCAGACACTTAACGACTGAGCCACCCAGGCGCCCCTCCTTAACTTCTATAATCATAAATTCAGCTGGCTAAAGCCTGCCATTTTGTGGTCAGTTTGTACATTCATGTTTTATCTCATATTAAATCTACATCAGTTAAGTTAGAAATATAAATATTACTGAAAGAACTCATATTTGAGAAGGAGAAAGATTATTTGTTTTATACCTTAATGTTGAAATTTGGGCAGAAGTCTTCAAATCGTATTGTTTAAAAATGAATCCATCAAATTTTTCCTCAATGCTTTGTCCTTCAGGAAAGGCCAGAGGCAACTCAAAATTGCCATGACTCATCCCCTCCCGTGGAGTTTTGTGCCATATGTTTCCTTACTTGTCTGCTCTTTTTATTAAAAATCCTATTTATTTATTTATTTATTTTGCTGAAGCTTTCAATTTGCTGTATCTTGAAGAAGACGTTGAACTCCCAACCTTTGAAACGTCTTAATATTTGCTGAGTGATTAAGGGGCAAAGTGGAAATACTGTGGATTGGACTTTATCTTATGTGGAAAATCTTTGCTACGACAGCTCAACCATCCCTATTTTAAGCAATTAAGTATTTATTTTCCTTAAAATCTGAAGTCTTTTGGAACATTTTCCAAAAAGTGAGGACAAATTTCTGTACTTACTGGTCAGCTTGAGGACCTTTATTTTTTAGACCCACTTTATTTTTTTATTTATTTATTTTTTTTAGACCCACTTTAAAATCAAGTACTTTTGCGGGGCACCTGGGTGGCTCAGTCGTTTAAGCGTCTGCCTTCGGCTTGGGTCAAGGCCCCAGGGTCTTGGGATGGAGCCCCACATCGGGCTTCCTGCTCAGCGGGAAGCCTGCTTCTCCCTCCCCCTCTCCCCCTGTGTCTCTCTGTCAAATAAATAAATAAATAAATAAATAAATAAATAAATAAAATCAAGTGCTTTTGCATAATTTATTTAATACAGATTCAAAATAATTTTATTTTAGATCTATAGTGTGGTCTGCTATACTGCTTCTTGCTGTTTCTCAAAGTACTTTACAAATATAATAGATATCTTTACTGTCACCATAAGGCAGCAGTTCCTGGGTGAAATTCTTCAGGGAAGCCAAAACACAATATCAATATGGTAATAAGTTGGCCATCTCTTAACATCAACAATCTGCTTTATGGTCAGAAAGGTGCTGAAAGCTCCCCACTTCTTGCCCAGGCTGTCTCTCAAATAATTTATCTATGCAAAAAAATAATTTAGAAGCCGTGAAAAGTTCCATTCTACAGATTTTGTGTCATTCTATCCTGGGTCTAAGGTGAGAGTCATTTTTGTCCTGTACTTAGCTAGCACTAAATAAGAGCTGTGAACAGTAAGTCTACCACCTCTTTCTGGTGATTCTGTTTCACCTATGCCCTTCACAGCTCACATTTATTCTAAATGAACCTCTTTTCCATTATTCTTAATTCTTTCCATTCCCCTCCCCCCAGCCGTGCATTTCCTACTTTCAGAAACTTGAAGACAAGGTCCTTACAAACTTCTCTCCTGTATCCTCAAATGATCCAGACATAAATATTTTAGCACAGTCACCAGTGTATTTCTGATGGCATTAAAGTGTCTGCACAACCGGTCCTGTATTTATAAAGCTCACAAATGCTGTATGACCTGTAATGCTATACCAGCTAATGAATTCTCCCAGAACAGTTGACAGGGAAGGATTTTACTTCCACTTCTCACAAGGAGAAAGATGGAGAATGAGAGACGATTACAAAGCAGAATATTTTAATCCATCTTCTCGGTGATCTTTGGGGGCTGTGTGCTAATATTTAAATTGAAGAGGAGGGAGGAGACGGACTGAGGATGGAGAGACCGAGGAGGTGGGGGGCGGAGCTAGCTCAGCACATAAAACCCCATGCTAAAAGGGAAGCACAATCGTGTGTGCCAGAGTCACTCTCCCATAACCTAGAGAGATGGGGCAGTCTGTGCCGTGAGGACGGAGCTCGGAAGAAAGAAAACAAGAACAGGAAAACAAACGAGACATAAGAGGACATCTGGAAAAAGCAGAAGGCAGAAGACAGGAAGGGGAAAACAAACCCACAGCAGGTGGAAACAAGATCTAGAGCAAACTGGTCTGGTCCACAGTTGTTTTTCTGGAAGAGAAGAAAGTACCGGAGGATTGCCTGTTTTCTCTTCAGTTAATGAAAACTCTTATCTTCATCAAAAAGAAAAGGCTAAGGGAAGGTAAAGACAATCTTTGTTTTCTTAGGGGCAGAGCTGAGTGAAACCCAGACTATCTTTGAAGCGTCTAAAATAAGCCACTGCCTGGTACACATTGCAGAACCATCCTGGTCTCTGAAGATCTACATCCCCTTCAGGAAAATTCCAGCCGGAGTAGCTGGTACAGTTCTATTTTTATATTTAAATATCTATGTCTCTTCCCCCGCCCCTTTTAACAATCCTTTCTTGTTCGTAAGCCCGAGTGACAAGAAAGTATCTATATGGAATAGGAATATTTTCAGTTTTCTCTTTTTATCTGACTGAGTCTTTTTTTAAGAGGGTAGGAGTGGTCCTTATTTCAGAAAAGGGCGTTTCAATTTGAAAGACAGTCTCTTAAAATATATTTACACCCACACGTATTTAGAAAGAGAGGTACCTTTCGGAGGTGGAAATCCTATGAGAAAGATGGAAAAAGGAGCCAGGCACCGAAACAACACTGAAAAGAACCACCCAGGTGGGAGCGAGTCGGAGGCCAGCCCTGAGTCTGGTTCCGGAGGGGGCGGAGTAGCCCTGAAGAAAGAGATTGGATTGGTCAGTGCTTGTGGTATCATTGTAGGTGAGTCCAATTACTTTTCCCCACCCACCACTCCTTCCCTTCTCTGGTGGTCCTGTTGTGGAAACTTAGCCCCTTGAAAGTGCTATTTTTGCTTCCTACTCCCTAAGAAAAGAATTGTCATTCCCCTGTGCTGTAACCCAGACCCCAATGGTCAAGTTTGAGGGGTCTGGGAAGCTGTGTATGTCATTCATCTCTTCCTTCAAACCAGGCTGAGGAGTTCTGTCCAGTGTTCATGGAATGGAGCAGATAGGGCTCACACATGTGGCTGATGGTCAGCATTGCCTGGAAGCTTGTTGAAAATATAGGTCTCCTGGCTCCACACTTGAGGGCTCTGATTGCGTTGGCTTACAGTGGGGCTAGGGAACCTGAATTTCTAACAAGGTTTCATGCAGCCATCTCTTCAGTGGGCTGTGTACAGGCTTTTGAGACCTACTTAGTAGATAGTCTGTTGGTTTATGTCCTGAGAAACTGTGGGCCTCGGGGATGTTTAATAACAAAAATAGCTACGACAGCAGTGGTAATGCCTTGCCCTTCTGTAGCTTTTTCATCTTATGCAGCACTCTCTCTTTGTAAAGTAGATGGCGACAGTGCTGTTATTCCCATTTCACAGATGAGGAAATAAATCATGGAAGAAAAAGAGAGATGAGATGGATTGTGCCTCTCCCTAAACATAGAGTTTGTAGTTTCTCTGGTTGCCTAGGGAGTCCGCCCATCTCTTGACATTCATGGAAGACCTTATGAGGTTCTCAAAGGGAAATAGGAGTAACTAGAATGACTAGAATGTGGAGTCAAGGAGAAACTGATGGGTAAAATGTGTCCCAGCTGGAAGACTTCGAAGCTGGGGGGCCCAAGTGTACCTGAGAGTGCCAGTGCAGGCCACGCCAACCCCCTAACCCTAGTCTGCTGGGCAGAGGGTCCCAAATATGGTTCCATCTCTAGACCACACATCTTCCTCTTTCCTGAGAGGCCCTGGAGATGGATGGGCAATGGCTCATTACTGTCCTTACTTCAGAGGGTGAGCGTTTCTTCTGCTGTTTTTGGTAGAGGCTTTACCCTCTTCCCAGAGAAAGGGGCATGGGATGGTCAGGCCAGATATATTTGTGTCATCTCTCCAGAGTTCCTTTTGAGGGCTTATTGTGTCCTGTTGCCCATGAGTCAATGTCTCTGGATGAGCCCATCTTATATGCAGCAGCACAGAGGCATTTTGGCACCCGAGCAATAGTAACACTGGAGAACACCCTTGAAATCAAATAAAATCAGTACAGTATTCAGATAATCCTCTTCACCTCTACACCCAGACTTCAGTGATCATGTTATCTCCACTCTGTTTTCAAAATGGAATCCCGTTTTATCTAATTCTCTGGCTCTGGGAAATTTTCCAGGCATCTACAGTTATAATGTTATTTTTAAAATTACAGTCATGATCTGAATCTCTTATTACCTTTTCTTTGCTTCTCCTTTATCTCAGTTGCTCTAAAAAATGAGATCAGCAGAGTATCCAATATGTACAGTACATGCCAATTTAAGATCTATAAATAGCCTAAAGCCTGTTACCTCTTTTACCAGTTTGACTGATAGGATTAAGCATTTTCCTCCCTTTGGGAAGGTTCTGATTCATACACAGATGTGCACACCCACATGCGCATAAGCACATCAAACCTCCTTCCTGCCTCAGCCTTGCTCACCCACCCCTGTTCATGTACAGGTATTCAAGGGTAGAGGATATTTTCCTATATGCTGAGGCTGTTCTTGGCTCTTTCTTCAACAGTTTAATAAATGTTGAAAAAATACGATCTCAGATGAGTGAATGTTACTACTGATTTGTCCACAACCTTGTGGATTGCGCTTCAGTGTGAGAATAGTCCCAATATTCCCATTGACAATACAGTGACAAGAATAGTAACTGTGGTGAAGAGAGATCCCAAATAGGTGATTTCAGAGAAATCAGGACGTTTTTCCAAAGTGTGAGAATCTTTGTAGAGTTAAGAGGAACTGTGCTACCTCCACTTAAGCTAGAGTGAGACACAGATTTTCCCCTTTAGGATGATATGGGGCCACATCCTTTCTGCTTCTCCACCTGCATGGCTGTTGAATTTCAGATGTGCTGAGCAGCTGCCCTGTCCTCTTCTAGAAGGGTTTCTGAGTGAATGATAGTGATTCAAGTCTTTTCAAGACCAAATGCAAAAATAGAAATGGCATTTTCCATGCAGAATTCAGTGATCTTCCAACACTGTGGAAGAGAGAAAATTAGAAGGCAAAAAGAGAAAGGAAATTTCCTAAGTGGGTCAGGTGATGCGGTATGGGAAAGTAGCATTTGCCCCGAATCCATCTATCTCATACCCAACTTACTTAGAGGAATAAGTTAAACTATGCGTTTTGCACAAGCTCATAAAATTTCATTAACAGTCATCACTGATGATCTAAATAAGGAATAACAGAATGGCAGGTGTTACAGGAATATAGCATGAACTAATAGAAACCCATGCCCTAGAGTTACTTATAATCTGATTGAGGAAATGAGATTCATATACATTAAACAAAGAACATTAAAAATTAATGATATGGTTGAGTTGTGTAGGAGCTGAATGAGGGCAAAGTTAAGGTGAATGGTGGGAAACACAAGGAGAGATAAGTTCTCACCCAGCACTAGATTAAGAAACATCTTGAAGGATATGGGAAAAGATAGAATAGAGCAGGTGATTCTGGGAGATTTCATAGGTAAAAGAATAACAACTAAACGGTTATTTCCTTGAGAAAAAAAAAATGTATCTTCTACATCTTTGAATCTTTGGTACTTAGCCTGACATGGAACAGTAACTCAAATGATTGTTGTACTTAATTGGCTCTTGGACAAAAATCCGAATATGGTAGTAATAAGAAGTGTTTATCTGAAGGACTGTTGGGAACCTGGCTTGAAAAATCTTTAAGAAAGGAATAATTTCATCAGCCTAGACAATTAGGTTGGGCCATTTTAATTTTTTTTTTAAAGTAAGCTCTACATCCAGCGTGGGGCTCGAACTCACAAGTTCGATCAAGAGTTGCACGCTCCACTGACTGAGCCAGCCAGACACTCCAGGCCATTTTAATTTTTTAACATCACCTTTGCCCTAATCTAACCAGACTATTGCTCTTCATGTACTTGGCTAAGGAAATCTGTTGGAAACAGATGAACTTAGATTGCACCATGAATGTGCGGTCCCCGCAAAATCTAAAGAGAGTGTGATGGAGCAGCAAAATTTTTTTAAAAAATATTTTATTTATTTATTTGAGAGAGAGCACAAGCAGGGAGGAGGGGCAGAGGGAGAGGGAGAAGCAGGGAGCCCGACGTGGAGCTCGATCCCAGGACCCTGGGATCATGACCTGAGCCGAAGACAGATACTTAATGGACTGAGCCACCCAGGTGCCCCATGGAGCAGCAAAATTTATCAATTAATGATACCTAAGCTACTGTTAAGAGCTATCATTATTATTTTTTTTTTTTTAGAGCTATCATTATTTTTTTAAGATTTTATTTTTTAAGCAGTCTCTCCACCCAACGTGGAGCTCAAACCTACAACCTTGAGATCAAGAGTTGCATGCTCCACAGACTAAGCCAGCCAGGTGCCCCAAAAGCTGTCATTATTAAGCATTTATTATATGCCAGAAACTTGTGCAATTACCCAACATCAGTATCCTGTTTATCTCTCACAATACCCTTCTCACTTATTATCCCTTCCTCCAGATAAGGAAATAGAGGCTCAGAGGGATAAGCAACTTGTTGAAGTTCACACTGCTAAAAAGTCTTGAAGGCAAGATTCAAAGCTAGAGCTTGTCTGAATCCTGAATTGAGCTTTTAAGCATTCTTCTCTACTATTTCTATTTTTTATGTCTTAAAGGGATGCTTTCCTTTAGACTCTGGGCAGAGGTCCTTATTTGTTTTTACAGATGAAGCACTTAGTGGTGTGTTCCCAGCAAAGAAGTGTACAGGGGAACTGAGCAATCAGCTGGGAGTAGAAGGTAACATTTCCGGTACAATTGCAGTAAGACTTGGGGGGCAGCCTGAGATTGGCTCAGCTACTACAGGATCTGGTAAGCACAGACCATGCTCCTATTAGTTCTCCCACATGCACACCTTTCCTCTATGGACCAGAGTTTTCCCCAGCCATGGTGGAGGTGCCCACAGAGTTCCTGGCTGTTTAGGTCACTTTATACCAGTTACATATTTAGGTACATACCCAAAATCTCGGTCTGGAGGCACCAGGCCAGCTGCAGAGCCTAAAGAAAAAATATTCATAATATGTCAGACCATTTTGTTTTTAGCATAATGTACATTTATGAATGGACTTGGTATACTTGCTGCAGAACAATACTGAATGCAGGTCTAGCTATTAGACCACTCTTTCCCACTAACAAGATGTTTTTGTTTTTTTTTAAATTGTATTTACCGGGGTGCCTGACTGGCTCAGTGGGTGGAGCATGTGACTCTTGATCTCAGGGTTGTGGGTTCAAGCCCCGATGGGTATAGAGATTCCTTAAAAATAAAATCTTTGGGGCGCCTGGGTGGCTCAGTCATTAAGCATCTGCCTTCGGCTCAGGTCATGATCCCAGGGTCCTGGGATCAAGCCCCACATCGGGCTCCCTGCTCAGCGGGAAGCCTGCTTCACCCTCTCCCACTCCCCCTGCTTGTGTTCCCTCTCTCGCTGTGTCTCTCTCTGTCAAATAAATAAATAAAATCTTTAAAAAATAATAATAAAATAAAATAAAATCTTAAAAAATAAAAAATAGTATTTACTGAACTCTTACTAAATGCCAGTTCCTGTGCTATGAACTTTTTATGTATATTACCTTATTTAATCCTGACCACAATCTGCTGAAAGTAGATATCATAATTATCTCTATTTTTATTATTTTTTTATATATTTTTTTTTATCTCTATTTTTAAACATGAGGAATTGAGTCACAAATCTGGTAGGTAATTTGCCCATGGTCACACAACTGATTACTGAGTTGGCCTAATTCCA